TTGTCTTCTCCTCAAGTGACTGTACATCTGAACACTGCAAAATATATGAAATATACTCACACTGTTGCATATTTATATGAAAAATACCCCCAAACACAACACTGTGCTAGAAAAAAAGTCCTTTTAACACTCAAAAGGTCCAAGTAAACAAGATTACCTCATCATCAACCCCTTCCAGATGCTAATCAACTGATACATTGAGCTTTATTGAAATATTATAGAGTATGGAAGCAGTTAATCCCAGATTGGATTATTTCTAACCGAATTTTTCAGCATACCCAATAAGCAAAGTCTGACTACTGGCCTAGGACTTGAGTGTATGAGGTGGTTGTTCCATCAAGGCACCATCTCCCACTTGGAGAGCCTATAGTCATGCTTCATATGGCTGCACCACTATACCTGCACATTGGAAATTTGTGGTAAAACATGTAACTTATAATACTTGAAAAAGACATTTCATCTGACGTATTTTATTGGTTTTGAAAAATGACCCTCACTGTGGCATTAGACTCCATGTCTGTCATTGTTATAGATCTTAGTAAAGCTTTACACAGCTTTATTTTATTCTTTAAGCATGTACCCAATCTTCCAGAAGGACCTAACTTTAATAAATGATCATGCTTTTAGAAGGTCAAGAAGCAGCTGAGATTTTTCAAGGCTACCAAGTTGAGGTACATGAAAACAGAAGCTAGACACCAAAGAAAACTTCAGACTGAAACCATCTTCAAGAACCTTTTATAGATCTGATTTAAAGAGAATCCTGAGAATAAGGCTTCTGCTAACCAAGTGCAATGAGAAAGACATAATTCATTCACATTCATAAACTACATGAATTAGGAACATCAAGTAGAAATAGGTGGAAGGTATAAAAATGTGATAGTCCACTTATTCCCATTCTTGTCCATAGACGTTCACTATGGAAATAATACCAAAACCTATGTCAATTAATTGTTGCATGATAAAGAATCACCACTGAAATAAACCATTAAACTTGCTTTAGCTCTTTAAAATTTTTTCGCCCGATCTTCAAAACACCTTTCACAAAACAAGAAGAAATTCACACAAAATATAATTCCTCCACGTTTATATTCTAAAGATAAATGAATGACTGAACTTACCTGAATACTTTGCATTTCATCCTTACATTCATATAAATCTATGGATGTTAACAAGGAATCTTTTTTCTCACAGCTTTCGTGACTAATGAGCGTGTCCGCGTAGTTGGGCTGCGGGAAGATCAAGTGACTCTTCCGTGAGTCCGCAGTGAGGGACACCTCGTGGGAATAGGTCTGCAGGAACGCCTGCACCCCATCCACGCCCACAAAGTGCGAGGCGGGCACGTGTGCCAGCTCACCTCCTGAAGCCTGGAGCAGGTGCGACGTGTACCAGCGCCTCACTCTGAGCGCCAACAGCACAATGACAAAGGCGAGGAAGACACAGGAGACCGAGGTCACTGCCACCACTAAGTACAGCGTGAGGCCTGAGGCGTCAGAGTCCTGCGGGACCTCTAAGCTACCCAGGTCGGCCAGGACATCTGGAATGCTGTCAGCCACTGCCACAGTGAGCGTGACGGTGGCAGAGAGAGGGGGCTGGCCATGGTCCTGGACGGCCACCACCAGGCTCTGCTTGAGGGCGTCTCTGTCCAGCAGGGCCCGCGCCGTGCGCACCTCGCCTGTGTGCAGTCCCACTGTGAAGAGCCCTGGCTCGCTGGCCTTGAGCAGGCGGTAGGACAGCCAGGCGTTCTGGCCTGAGTCTCTGTCCACTGCCACCACCTTGGTCACCAGGTAACCGGGCTCTGCAGAGCGAGGTGCCAGTTCCACACCGGTGGAACCGTCAGTGGGGAGCGCCGGGTACAGGATCTCTGGTGCGTTGTCGTTCTGGTCCAGCACAAATATGCTTAGCGACACGTTGCTGCTAAGCGGTGGGTCCCCACTGTCACGCGCAGTCACTCTCAGCTGCAGGTCACGGAACTGCTCATAGTCAAAAGAGTGCAATGCATACAGGACGCCGGTGTCGGAGTTGATGGAGACATAGGAGGATAGAGGTGTCCCCTGGATGGTGTCTTCAGCCAGGGAGTAGGTGACCCGGGCGTTCTCATCGCTGTCAGGGTCGTGTGCAGTCACAGAGAAGATGGAGGCACCTCTGGGGTTGTTCTCAGGGACATAGACAGAGTAGGAGGACTGGGGGAAGGCAGGCGGGTTATCATTGGTGTCTGCCACCATCATCAAGATGTGAGTTTCCGTAGACAAGGGTGGGATTCCACCATCTGTGGCTGTCAGTGTGATGTTATACACAGAGCGCATTTCCCGGTCTAGGTTTTTTGCTGTCACCAATCTGTAATAATTGTCTATTGATTTTTCTAATTTAAAAGGAAGATTTTCTGAAATACTGCAGGTCACCTCACCATTCTTCCTGGAATCTCGGTCGTGAAGATAGAAAAGAGCAATTACTGTTCCAGGAGGAGTGTCTTCAGGGATCAAGCTGCTTACAGATGTTACAGTCACTTCTGGGGCATTGTCATTCACATCTAAAATGGTGATCAGTATTTTAGCCCTTGTTGTACTACCAGCACCATCCTGAGCCTGAACTTCCATTTCATAGTAGCCAGATTCTTCATAATCTAGGCCTTCTAAAGTCGATAATTCTCCTGTAAGGGAGTTCAGCTGGAATATCTGTAGAATTTTTTGAGTTATTTTCCTAAAAGAATATGTCACTTCCCCATTGACTCCTTCATCTGGGTCGACAGCATTTACTGTTAGCAGTCTTGTGCCCACTGGCACGTTCTCAGGTACAGTTACTTGGTACTGGGGCGAAGAGAAGACTGGCGCGTGATCATTCACGTCCACCACTGTTACTTGGATGCTGGCGGTGCCGGATCGGGGCGGGTCGCCGCCGTCAGAGGCTGTGAGGAGGAGGTGGTGAACCGCTACTTCCTCCCTGTCTAGCACCCGCTCCAGCACTAATTCCGGATACTTAGTTCCGTCGTCACCAGTTTGCACAACCAGGGAAAAGTGGTGATTGGGGTTGAGCTGGTAGCTCTGGAGGGAGTTGGTGCCCACATCCGGATCTCTAGCCTCATTTAACGGTAACCGCACCCCAGGGGCTGTATTCTCCATTATTTTTACGTTCATTTCTTCCGTCAAGAACCTAGGAGAGTTGTCATTAACATCTGTGATTTCCACTTCTATAGGGTAAAGATTCATTTTCTCTTCCATCAGGATGTTAAAACCCACCAGACACCGCGCGCTCTGAGCGCAGAGCTCCTCCCGGTCTATCCTGTCCGCGGTGACCAAGCTGCCACTTCGCGGATGTAGAGTGAAAAGCTGTTTCCTACCTCTGGAGACGATGCGGACTCCGCGCTCCGTCAGCTCTTGGGGCTCCAGCCCCAGATCCTTAGCGATATTACCCACAAAGGACCCTTTGTCTGCCTCCTCCTGCACAGAGTAGAGAATATGTCCTGCCCAAGCTTGGCTCCGGATTCCCAGGAAGATGGAGAGCAGGATGAATCCTCTGTAATCCCCGCCCCTCTGCGGAGCCGCCATCGTTGTCTTGCAGATATTGTTTAGACCCTGGGCTACCTCCTGTTGTGTTTCTGGATGCCAGTCTGTCCGCGTAGGGCCCTCTGTATTCAGATAAGGAGCCGAGAATCCAGTAGAATAGAGATCTGAGTTTGGTGCCTCTTGGAAAAGAGTTTGTCTCAAACTGGCGTTTCTTTTTGTTGTAAAAGCACCGTAGTTTTGGCAGATCTTTTTGCTCCATTATTCCCCTGGCTGGTGAACAGCGGCGCTCAGAGTCCTTACTATGTTACTGCACCATACTGAAGCACAAGAACTGATTTTTCAGAAAGTTATTTTATCCTTCGAAATGCTTCCGTTTATATTTCTTTAATCCATATATCTCTGATATCATTTAAAAATCCATCTTAAGAAATTGAATTGATGCAACAATGTTCATGGATGAGTGTTTATTAATGCCAGATGATTTTTCAGAATGCTTTGGTTTGCATCGAAACTTTGCAATGATTCTTGGGCACTGCCTCACACTTTATTGCACATAGATAAAAATCAGCCATTGCAGGTAAAAAAAAGTGTGATTTATTTAAAACGGTGTTTGTATAAATAAGAAAGTTGTTATATAGGAACTGTTTACATCAGAGTAAAATTAATTTAAATTAATTAAATAATATTGAACGCATACTATGCACTAAACATCACCATGTAAAACTCAGATAGTAAAAATTTACTTTAAAATATAAAGAGGTAATTTAATAAAGTTTTCAATTGGATAGAACCTTAGAGATAATTTAGTCCAATACCTTTATTTTGATGATTTCTAAAATGAGAGGGAATCGCCTTGTCCTGAACTATCCAGTAGTAGAACCGATGTCAGAATATAAATATACTCATTCTCAGTCTTCTGAGAAGAAAAAGGGAATCATTATTGGCCTTGGCTGATGCCTTATGCTCAAAAGGTGCC